GAAATTATTATTTGCAAGATATGTATAGTGGCTAAAACTACAGGATTTGGCTTTATGATAGAATTATTTGATAATGCTGTTGCAGGATATAATAAAAAAAATAATTCATAGCACACTGCAGGGCCTGGATTGCTTACCCAAGTCCACAGTAGATTAAGATAACCTCAATTTAAGTATATCTGCATTTCAGAATACAACTGGATGACTGCAGGTTGTGTGTGAGTGTGTGTGTGTGTGTGAGTGTGTGTGTGTGTGTGTTCAAGATAATGTTTGCAAGTAAATACTTAAAAAGATTTATTTTATTATTATTATTGTTCTCAGATGGAAATTAGTTCTCATTTTTCTACTGTCAACTTGTCTTAATTAAGAATAAACCTAATTCTTGAATGCCTTGAAATTCTCTGATGAATTTCCACAAATAACAACTCCATCTAAACAACTGATTAACTAACTCTTTGGATTCAAAATGTCAGGTATGAAAAAGAGATGGTCAACCCACATGTTCCCGCCCTGTCATTCAAATGAAAAATACTTGATAGGAAAGAGTATGTTGTGTGCTGTTTACAAGGAGTTTGATAATGAGAATAAGGGAGAGAAATAGTGTACGATAGTGGAAGAAAGTACAATAACAACAAAGACAAGAGGAAAGACAAGTATTGCAGAGCCCACTCATCATGAATTCCCAGAAAGAGTTTATTAATCTTTAGTTGGGCAGCAACATTTAAAGTTAGGAGTTTGGACAATATCTAGTACTAAAACCAATCCTGCACAGAAAAATGCAGGCAAGTTCTTGGACTCACAATTGTTTCATTTTAAGTCCACAGAAGTATAGGAAAGTAATGGTGACTAGACAACATGAAAGCCACTATTACAGGCAGACCCCTATTTGGCAAAATTTTGGTCCTACCTTGATGATCAGAGATGCTGCACCACTCCAGTATGGAGCCTTCTAATTCTAAACGTGGCTGTTATTTTAGCAGCTTCACTATCCTAGTATGTATTTGCCCACTCATGAAAGCAGAAGCAAATCATTAATTAAATCTCTGAAGCTGCTAATAGGCTAAAGGTTTTCAACAGATCACTAAGCAGGAATCATGCTTATCACAGACACAAGTGGCCAGGCAGTCCTTACATTATTTCTTCAGCTGATGACTAGAATTGATCTACATTAGCCTCTTACTAATCTATTCATAGGAATATACTATAGAGTCTCTTTCAATCTGTACAGATTGGCTCCTTCAGTTGATAATGTTAATGCCCAAAAGAATATGCTCTACTTTCCACTGGCTTTTCATCTACAGGTCTGTCACACAAACAATACAAACCACATGCCTTATAACGTTGAATTATAGGAACAAATACAAAACAGCAGAACACAAAATGAAGAATTAAACACCATTAAACTAGATAATTTTTCTGAGAAAACTGAAAACACATTAAAGATTGAAGGCCATTTAAAAACTGCAAAAAGTGGTGCTCCAGACATTCAGAGCAGCGTGGCAAGAAAAACAGCAGATCAGAAAGGACACAAAAGACCAAAAATATTCATATAAGGGACTGAAGGAAGCTTCAGGGGAGCATCATTTTTCTCCCCAGTTTCCAAATTTTGAGCAGAAACTTAAACATGCAGCAACTGTGTCCATAAAACACAGCATTACATGTTTGTATTTCCTTATGTTGAGGAGAAACAGAGGAGAAATCATCTTCATGTGTGAAAGTTTAACTATTAGTTGTTAATAATAATGTTACAGTCTAGGGAACCTGAGAAACCTTCAATGTTGTTTCTGGGATATCTGATACTATGCAAACTTACAAAGTAACTAATTCACAGATAATTCAAAACGGGAAACAAAATTACAGCACATGTAAACCTTAGGAAAATAATGTACAAAAGGGAAAACTATTGTTCCTATTGCTTCAACTAACAGCTCACTACCACTGGGCTTCCAAAATACTTGAATTTCCAGTTGACTGTCTCCTGGTCCTGACGGTTGTCTATTTTCATATCTGAATTTCTGTCTTACCACTTAAAGAAATATAATAACCTAGGTTTGGAATGCCCCACATTTGTTAATATTGTATTACACAGACAGCACAGAATACAATTAAGCAACAAAAGGACGATATTCCATAGTATACTACAGCAGCAATATGATACAGTAAACATAAGGGAATAGTGAGTCTCACTGAGTCAACATGTGATTCCAATCTTTATTTGTCCTTCTACAACTTAAACGTAGATGGTGCAAAGTGTAACACAAGGCTCAGAAGTGAGAAAGATCTGACAAGAAGAGGGCTAATGTTTATTGCTAGCTCACTCTTTCCAAAGTCCTAGGTTGGTATGACTAGGGGCTTGGAAAGTCAGCACTCTTCCATAAAATGTGACATTTCCAACTGTGGTGTGGTTAATAGTTACACTTCAGAGGGCTGTACTTTATATTTAATTGAATCTTACAGCAATTCTGACGATGTCATCTTAACAATCTCAGTTTGCAAGAGGATGTGGATTTCTATAAAACAGAGAAAATGGACTTTTTTTTAAGGTCAATGGATCAACTGCTTAGTAGACTTAAGCAACCACAGTACTTTGATGTCCAAATTGGAAAAAAATGTCAGTAACAGAATGAATGTAGCACCATGACTCGGGGTATTTCATGCGTTCAGTCAGCTTTGCCAAAAAATTAAGCTTGTGAAACGTAGTAAGTGCACCTTATTTCATGCATCAGTTGCAATAACTGTTTCCTTTCGTTACATTTCTGTATTTCTGCTGCACTAAAAATATCTCCATGGGAGATAAGAGAAGTGCTAGAACAACCAGATGGCACTTGCTTATATTTATAACATTCATGTCTGGTGATAAACTATACGTAATATAATAAAATATTAAGAAATGCCAGCACTTTAGTGAGGAATAGAGGTTTAAAACTAATTTTTTGAGCTTATATAGTGATCTCAGCTAATGCTTTAAGACATTAAGCTGGACAATGCTATATGTTGCCTTTAACTTGCAAAATGTTGGCCTTGTGTAAACTGCAACCTAAGTCCCCGATTCTAGGTATATTCACACATACACATTAACTGTTGGCATAAAAATAGTTCCATTATTACAAAAGTATCTTTTTCAGAATCAAGGTTTATTCAAGCCTATTTACCCTTCTACCTTACCCTCGTGCAGCTAAGAATGTTTACCAAATAATCTCCCTTTGCACCTTGGTTCTGTTCCTGTATTGGTTAAAGTACTTCCTTTGTATGCTGTGAGATTTTATTTTTTCACCCTCCTCTAGGAGATTTTCACATATAAATTAAAAGACACAATGAATTCTTTGGCTTCACTTATGAAGGAAAGACTACCCAAAACCAACACCAGACCTGGCTGAAGGGATCTCAGACCCTCAGCCACCGCAAAAAAAAAACCTTTTGTCACTGCCCTCTGGAAAGGTAAGAAGTAACTCCATCAACACTTTCACTCTCAAAACTAGTAATACCTAGAGTTCGTTTGACTAATGGGGCAATACCTCTAATGCTGGCATTTACACCTGAGCCTGTTATTCTTTCATAGTTAAAGGAACTCATGTCCAGAGAATTAATCTCATCAGAAACTTGTATCAGATAAACTACACACTAAAAGGCACTTTTTTCTCTATTTGCTCTAAAAAGAGCTCTAGGTGACCAACACAGTGTCTACAGTATAACATCTAAAGGCAAGTAAGATACCCAACATTTGGTTTCCTGTGCCAAACTTCCAACTGCTGAAGTATGTTATATGCCTTTTTCTTGCAAGACCGAGGACCCCGTTAAAAGATTTGTCCTTCATGAAAATATTTGCTCACTGTTACTGTGTTTAAACACAAAGACCATTAGGGTTCCTGTAGTTCTGGAAAACAATCTGGTGTTCATTGCCATAAACCCATTCCAGTTTTGTCAGCACTTCCTCTGGGCTTTAGTACTACACAGACCACCCTCTGGAACAACTTGCTGTTAGTGGCCATACCAGGATCATACAGCGAAATCATAGAACTTCCCAAATCTTACCTGAAATTCCTCAGGTTATATTAATTAAATTATCCCTTTTGACTTCTGCAGTGCTCTGGGAGTGTATGCTTAGCTACAAACACATTAGGTAGGATTCCAAGTCTTTTTCAGAGCTACTGTCTTGCAGTAAATTCCTTGTTGCTGTAAATATTTTGCATTTTCACACCTAGATGTGATTTCCAGTGAAGTGGTTCAGCTATACCTCACAGAAACACTGAGATACTGACACGGTTTAGACCTCTGTAAGGTTCAGCAAATGATGCCACATCCATTCTTTTCTTCCCTCTTTATTTTCTACAGTATCCTCTGTCCACTCCTCTTCAACCCTTGCCTTGAGTCTACCAACTCAACTCTATCTCCTCCACTCCTGCTTGAACTGCTGCTCTCTTCACATGCAATGAAGTTAACACTTTCCCATTTAAGTGGGATAATTTTCCACCCTCATTGCGCTCCCATTTCTCCTTTTACCTCTCACCTATCCAAAAGATCGTTTTCAAATGCTATCTGTGAGCTTTTCCTCATTTCAAGCTCTGATCAGCTCGAAATCCACCTGAAGCACTTTACTCAAAACAGCTCTCAGAAAATCGCTAATGATCTGTTTCCAACCGGAGCTCAAAGCCAATGCTCCTCTAATCCCCTTTGACACTGCTACCTGCTTGCTACGTCAAAGGGCCTTTTTCTTCGTTTCCACTACCTTGACGACAACTGCCTATTTACAGCAGCCAAAACATTTTAATTCTTCCTCGATGCTCCTCATGGAACACCTGCGGTCCCCAGCAGAAGAAGGGTTTTGGCAGAGGCAGTGAGGAGCCTCGGAAGGGCTCCAAACCGGGTGATTTTCCTGCTGCCTTTCCCCCAGGCCTCCCTCACGGAGAGTCCGGGGAAGGACGAGGAAGCAGGGCCTGGCCGACACTAACGCCAGGAAGCCGACGGCACCGGGCGCCAGGGACCCAGCAGCCGCCGCCCTCCCGCCTCGGGGGCTGCGCGGGCGGCGGCGGCAGCAGCAGCAGCAGCTCCGCCCCGCTGCGGGGCTGGCAGAGGCGGCTCCGTTAGGCGCTGTGACGCCGGCGGCGCCGGAACACCTGGAGGGGTGGTGGAGGTGCCTCCAGCTCGGCCCTACCCTCCCGTTCGCAACGGGCAAGGTGAGTGCGGGAAGGGGGATCGCTGGACTCCGTACCGCATCCTGGCGGGGAAAACGGGCTCCGCCACCACCTGCTGCGGCCGGTGTCGGACAGCCGTGGTGGGCGCCGCCTCCTCCGCGGACTGTACGCCCGTCTCTTGGGGGGCCGGAGGCCGTGAGGCGGTCGGGCCTGAGGCGCTGGTGCCCGTCAGGGCTCGGCGGTGGGTGTAGCCGGAGCTGGACATGTCCAGGGCTGAAATTTCCGAGGCACAAGATGGCATCTGCCCCTCTTTTTTGCCTTGCGTCCCCCCTCCCGCCGTGCGGTTATCTCGCCATGATTATTGCATTTATCCGTTTCTGCCTCCCGTACATCCTCTTTGGCGCCATGCCCGCTGGAAGCGGGGAGGTTGGAGAGGAAAACGGCCGTTTCTCCTCAGCGGTTTCCGGCTCGGCTCCGGCCTGAGGCGCAGGTTGTCCGGCTCCCGCAGGGGCCGTTCGCCAGGGCGCGGCCCTCGTGTGTACCTGAGGGCTTCGAGCCGGCCAATGAGAGGAGCGGCAGGGTGCCTGTGATAATGTCGTGTCACTTAACCAACGCAGGCATCGAGGCGTTAGGAGCTGATGGGAATGGGTGTTAAAAACCCCCAAACTTCACGTTTAAAGGTTATATTTGTTGAAATGGTTGATTTTAGTAATTGGATTTGTTCTGCATTAGTCTACCTGGTACATGAATGTTGTTTACTTCCTGTAGTCGTTTAGAAGAAGAAATACCAAAAATTACTTGGCGCATCAGGTCGGTTTTTAGTAACAGAAAAGGATGAAGGGCACTGTGTTCTCCTAATTATCGGTATCACTGTGTGTATGCTCAGCACCAAATGTAAATAAGTCTCTTGTTCCATGCTGTTTTACTTAGTACTGATAGCTTCAAGGTCCTGCATGGACCCTCTAAAAATAGTAATTTAGGTTTACTTTAGTTCAAATGTGTAAATGTGAAACTGAATCGGGTAATCTTGAGGGTACATCCTTTAACCTTCCACCCTGAAGTTACATTGTATAGGTATTTTGGAAGCTTGGCATTAAGTTGTTCTTTTGTTTTGTTGTTTGTAATATTTTGTCCCTGCCTGCAAGCCTTGCTTTAAACCAAGGTGACCTTTTATTTCCAGGAAGCACCTGTTTGTTGGTTTTATGTTTGTTTATTTGTTTGTTTGGGTTTTTTCTTTGTGTTTTTTTTTTTTTTGCATTTTTTTGTGTTTATTTTGTTTTATTTGCTTGTTTCCCCATGTTTCTTTCTGTTATCTTCTTCCTTTCTGTTTCTGGATGGATGTTATTTAATTTGGGTCAGAAAGCAGCTATGGCTCTTGTTCCAGAGCAGACTTCTTGGAAATAAACTGGTTTCATGTTTTGCTCTAGCAAGGCTGTTGTTGCAAGGGAAAAACTGAACTGTGTTTGATCACTTTTCAGAATTGTTGGGCAGAGAAAAATGGAGTGCTGGGTTTTGGAGTCTTCAGTGCTGTCTGCATTTGGTTGTGGTCTTTCATCTGTTTTTTCTGGCAATCCATTCTTTTCCCCCTTTGTCTATCCAGGCTTCCTGAGGAGTGAGTGGAAGTGCCACTTGACAGTGCTATCTACCTGGCACTGGTCTAGGAGTTGCAGTTCTTAGTGGTACTTAGCATGAAGTCCAGGAGCACCTCATTTAGACATTTTATTTTCTTTTTATACTGCTGTTTGAATAAGGTAGCCTATTGGTTTACACTGAGTAACTTAATAATTTAAGATGTATGTTAATAGCACTAAAGAAGGAATTTAGCATGAAGCCACAGAGATCATCCTTTGAGTAGTAAACTGCCATAACTGGTAAAACCAGTCACATTTTTCCCACGCCAAGCTCTACTGGAAGATGATGTGGCACTTAAATGCTGCCAAACCTTGGTCTGAGTTTATAAAGTTGTTTTTACTGTCACAGCTTCATAGGTGAAGCATTGTTATCTCCAGAAAGTTCAAACCCTCTACTCAAAAAGAGTTAGATGTTGGTATTCTTCTAGAATAGAATTTGCCTTCTTCTTAACTGTGAAAGAATTAAGTGCCTTTTGTATGTCAATTTCTTCCATTGTGTTTATGGGAACTGAGATTCAAAATGCAGGTTACTGAACATTTGCAGGTTCAAGAAGACCAGTTATGACTGAATGAAGGGAAATATTTCTTTTACCGTTTTTCATTCCCTTTTTCTCTCTCCCCTCCTCTCCTGCCCTGATTATATTATTGGGGTGTGGAGGCGAAGTAGAATTTCTGTTGAACCCTACCACAGGGTCTTCTCCCCCTTAGCAGAGTTTCAAACCCACCCATCTTGCCAGTTCTCTGTAATCTATGCTCTCTACAGGGCTGCTAAATTGTCTGATGAATTCCCAAGTAACCTTTTTCTGGAAGAAATGAATAATAACAGCTCTTTTCACTCTTCAACTAGTGTTGAAAGCTGTTGGTATGAGTTGGCAGAAAAAAATGTGCTAACGTCTCAGCTAAACTAGAAGTCGAGAAATGTCCTCAAAGTCTCTTTTAAGACTTTTTGAAAAATCTTCTCCAACAGTGTTGCTCTGAAGGAGTTGATTCTTGATTTTTTTTGCGCTTCTCAAGCATAAAATCACTCTAAATACAAAATTATGCCACGTGATGCAGAAGCATTAAAAATACAAAAGCCTGGAGAGTGAAGAATGTTAAGTAAAGAACCAGGCAATCAAGAACAATAGAAACAGATGACCTTTTAGGAGTTGCTAGTAGTAATAGCATGAGAGTAGTTTTTTCCTGTGGCTATAATTAACCATGGCAAACCCAGGGGCATTTTGACCAGTTACACAATTGTTTATGTCAGCCTTGGGATCTGTCTGTTCTGGGCCACTGAAACAGTACTGTGGTCCATCTTGCATCGCTTTATAGGGATCACTGCTGCTCTAGAGACAGTCAGCTGGTGTGCCAGGATCTGACAACAGTAATGCAACAGTTGAGTGGCCTATGCAGCTATCAAGAATATACAGTCTGCATTGATCGCGGTGTTTACTCAAAGGGCGGTGAAAGAACATCACCCTATATTGTTGTTGCTGGGTATGCTAAAACTGTTTTATTAATCTGATCTCTTATCTATGGATATAAAATGATCTCCCGAGGGAATCTAGTGAAAATTCTTTTCCTCTCTTCCTTCCCCCTGCATTGTCCCCCTCAGGGTATAATGGCATTGCTTCCCAGCTACTGCATGGATAAAAAGGGAGGAGGGAGGCAAAAACTTGAGTGTTGACTGTGTCAGCAGATAGGGTGTCTAAATAAGAGAGACATTAGTTTGAACTTCTAAAACCGTATTTGTTCATACATGTGAAAAGAATTTCATGATTCTTTTTCATACATCCACTGCTTTTCTCACAGGTTCTACAAATGGAAGGATTCCTAAGGTTAAGACTCTAGACAGATTACAGGTAGAATGTGTCACAAAGCCCATTTTCATATTGTCTTTTATAACTTATGCACAGCAGGTGTTCCATATGGCATTTTCTTTAGTAGTTTTCAGCTACTAAGTTTAAAAATACTGTTTTTTAAACTAAGAGAACAAATGTGTGTTACAAAACAATTTGGTAGTCATTTCAGAGATATGAAACAAGTCTGCATATAGAATGAGATTAAATGCTGGATTGCATATATCCCCAGCATTGCTCATTTGTAGAGTGAGGTTGGACCTGCCACTCAACGACTTATTGTTCAATAAAAGTCACACAGTACTCTACGATACTTACCTGGTTCTTTCCAAAGGACATGCACTTAGTGTTCTTCACAAACATGAGAGGAATACTAGGTGTCAAGTAAAAGATGCTATGTGAGGGCAAAAACTGATACTGTGTGCTGTTTGTATATTATTTCACAATAATCAGCTGAAAAATCAGTATAACCTGAAAAAGGAATTTAAAAATAATTTTATGTATAATTCAATATCTGTGTCTTTATGTAAATGATGAAGCACATGCAAATTAACTTACCTAGAAAAGGCTATTGTTTGCTCATCAATCTTCTAACTATGAGCCTACCAGCATTTCTTTGAAATATTTTGTTCTGAGAATACATGTACTGTGTAGTGACTGCATGTGCCATTCTTATCAGAGGTTTTGTGATAAACCGCTGGGTTTAGGAATTTGTTATTCAACTTTTCTAAAATCAAACAAACAAACCAACCCAGCTTCAAGTGTTATTCCAATACATGTTATGCTCTAGGAAGGAGATGACTTATGGCTGTAAGTTTGACTTAATAGTTTTTGGAATAATATGACAGACATAGAGCACTGAATAGGCACAAAATTGGTTTTTAGAGAGGAATGTTAATGGCTGACTTGGTCTTTGCACTTTGTGGAAGCAAAACCAGTTTTTTAAAAAAAATGGTGACATTGTGCCTGATTTTTGTGTGTGTGTGTGTTGGTTAAAACTTACCTCTAACCACTTGAGTGCTGAAAATTAGTGCATTTCAGATTAAGTTCTAGGTATAAGTGAGCAATAAATTTCCAATATACAAATTTTCTCTGTTTATCTGCTACTGTCTTCTATTAACTTGTACGTATCAGAGCTGGGAATAGAAATAAAAGACTAAATGACAGCATAAGAAACGGGGCCCTGGATATCATTCTCTGTTTAGACTACACCAGGAAATTAAGCAGAACTATTTCCTGTGTTAATTGTGTATTCTGAAACATTAGAAGAATGATAATTGTTTTTGGAATGAAGTAACTTAACAGTACTCTCTGCAGTAGCTCTTCGTCATCTGCCCTGCAAAGAGAGTATGAGGGGTCAGTGTAAAATTCAGTGAAAGACGGTTCATTGTATACTTAATGTCAGTAGCAGTAGTAGTGATTTTGTTGGATACACTGTTTGCAGACAGGTTTCCGGGTAGCACTGTAAAATGACAAAAGAAGATCCAAAACATCCAGATTTTTTCATACCTTGTTCATGGTTTCTAATGGTTCAAGTCTTTAATCACACAGCCATAGTCATTTAAGATAC